TTCAGGAAACGGATCCAATGGCAATGGTGCTAGCCAAGGTTCAGGAAACGGATCCAATAGCAATGGTGGTAACCAAGATTCAGGAAGCGGATCCAATGGCAATGATGGTAACCAAGGTTCAGGAAGCGGATCTAATGGCAGTGGTGCTAACCAAGTTGCAGGAAACGGATCCAATGGCAATGGTGATAACCAAGGTTCAGGAAGCGGATCTAATGGCAGTGGTGCTAACCAAGTTGCAGGTAACGGATCCAATGGCAATGGTGATAACCAAGGTTCAGGAAGCGGATCCAATGGCAGTGGTGCTAACCAAGGCTCAGGAAGCGAATCCAATGGCAATGGTGCTAACCAAGGTTCAGGAAACGGATCCAATAGCAATGGTGGTAACCAAGGCTCAGGAAGCGGATCCAATGGCAATGGTGGTAACCAAGGTTCAGGAAGCGGATCCAATGGCAGTGGTGCTAACCAAGTTTCAGGAAACGGATCCAATGGCAATGGTGCTAGCCAAGGTTCAGGAAACGGATCCAATAGCAATGGTGGTAACCAAGGTTCAGGAAGCGGATCCAATAGCAATGATGGTAACCAAGGTTCAGGAAGCGGATCTAATGGCAGTGGTGCTAACCAAGTTTCAGGAAACGGATCCAATGGCAATGGTGATAACCAAGGTTCAGGAAGCGGATCCAATGGCAGTGGTGCTAACCAAGGTTCAGGAAGCGAATCCAATGGCAATGGTGCTAACCAAGTTTCAGGAAACGGATCCAATGGCAATGGTGGTAGCCAAGGCTCAGGAAGCGGATCCAATGGTAATGGTGGTAGCCAAGGTTCAGGAAACGGATCCAATGGCAGTGGTGCGAATAAGAAACGCGGTGGTAACCAAGTTTCAGGAAACGGATCCAATGGCAATGGTGCTAGCCAAGGTTCAGTAAGCGGATCCAATGGCAGTGGTAATAACCAAGGTTCAGGAAGCGGATCCAATGGCAATGGTGGTAACCAAGGTTCAGGAAGTGGATCCAATGGCAATGGTGGTAACCAAGGTTCAGGAAGCGGATCCAATGACAGTGGTGCTAACCAAGTTTCAGGAAACGGCAATGGTGGTAACCAAGGTTCAGGAAGCGGATCCAATGGCAATGATGGTATCCAAGGTTCAGGAAGCGGATCCAATGGTAGTGGTGCTAGCCAAGGTTCAGGAAGCGAATCCAATGGCAATGGTGCTAACCAAGTTTCAGGAAACGGATCCAATGGCAATGATGGTAACCAAGGTTCAGGAAGCGGATCCAATGGCAGTGGTGATAACCAAGTTTCAGGAAGCGGATCCAATGGCAATGGTGGTAGCCAAGGCTCAGGAAGCGGATCCAATGGCAATGGTGGTAGCCAAGGTTCAGGAAGCGGATCCAATGGCAGTGGTGCGAATAAGAAACGCGGTGGTAACCAAGTTTCAGGAAACGGATTCAATGGCAATGGTGGTAACCAAGGTTCAGGAAGCGGATCAATGGTAATGGTATGAATAAGAAATGAGGTGGTGAAGGTGTAGGCCAAAGCAAATCAAATGGTGTGAATAATTATATAATAATTATATAATTTAATAATAGATAGAATTTAGCTTTTGTACTATCAGTAGTGGTAGTACATCAAATTTAGCACACATTTAGTTATTCAACTAATAGATTAATAAAACGGGTATAATTCTTAAAATTTATATCGTCACACTATTATTTTGCATATTTTGCTCGGTTTGTGTCACGTGATGACTATAAAAACAAAACTTCAAACCAAGATATCTCACCAACTACCATTCAATCTGAATAAAAAATATTTATTGGATGTTATCAGCGCAAATCTAATTTTGATAAGTAGTTAGATTTTTTTTTTTTAAGCTTGAGCGAAGATATTTCGACAATTAGATGAGCAAATTTGATTAAAATTTTTTATTTGAATTCTATGAATCCACTGAATTCAAAAAAGAAAAGTTTTATTAAATTTAGTTAGATGGTTATGGAGAAATTTTGCTCAAAGTTTGAAAAAAAAATCCAACACAGTTCTTGCATTGCAAAGACATCTTGACAACCAAATGATTAAATTCAGCGAATTTTTTTTAAAATTATATAAATCCATATAATTCAAATAAAAAGGTTTCTTCGAACTTGATCAAGTGTTTGCGGAGATATCTTCACTCAAATTTTGAAAAAATTTGGCGCAGCTTCTATTTCGATAAGTGGTTTGATTTTCTTTAAATTTGAGTGAAGATATCTCCACAATCACTTAACCAAATTTGGTAAAACTTTTATTATTTGAACTCTATGGATTTATAGAATTTAAATAAAAAAATTTCATCGAATCTAACCATCTGGTTGTCAGATATCTTCACTCAAAGTTTTTTAAAAAAATCAAACCCCCTATCAAAATAAGAATTGTATTGAAATTTTTTCTCAAAATTTTTTGAGCGAAAACATTTAATAACTATCTAACAAAATTTAATGTTATTTGAATTTTATGATTCATAGTGTGAACCCGGAATTCGACCCACCTACTGCGGCTCAAGTATGACCCAAGATCACGGGGTCAAGTGTAATTTATCGCATTTATTGCATTTATTGAATTTGTCGCATTTGTTGCATTTATCAAGTTTGTCGCATTTATCGTATTTGTTGTGATACTGAATATTTTATTATAAATAAAGGCTGCGAAAGCCCTAAGGAAAAGAAGTTTCGTGCTGCTTATAATTATCGTTCCTAATAAAATACACACTTGACCCATACAAACTTAAGTCTCTAAACAAATACGCTCTAATAAATAACCCAGACCCAGATCTATCACTAAGTGGCATGATGAAAGGTCTTTGCTCGTTAATTGTCTTGCTCACATGACTTCGCAGAAGATTGCTGTCCAGTTGATTCCTGAGGTCATCTGGGTTTTCCAACTCTCTCAACATATCGTGGACAGTTGTGGTTATTGTGTTATGGTTTGAAGTCCAAGAGGAAGGACCAAGCCGCGGTTTATTGAATAAAAAGTAGAGATATCATTGTTAAATGATAAATTAAAAAATATATATACTTTTCATAGGATATCTTTGTGTAACTCTATATCAGGCATTAGATTGTAGCAGTGAAAATTCCAAGCGTAGACCCATTCTAAGCCATTCCAATTTTCTATCTATCTACAAAAATAGAATAGATTGTAACATGAAGAACAAGCTTATTTACCGGTGGCTTTGTTACAGGAATTATGTTATAGTGAGTGATGCAGAGTGAAAACTCGCAATTGATTTACTTAAAATCAATCAAAAATTCTAAAACAGTACAGTAGTCTACCATTCTCTAGCAATTTCAATGCTCATTTTAAAAAAAAATAAGCTGTTGTTATGAAAATACAAAGTTAGAAAATGATAGGAGGGTGGAAGCAGGTTTACCAAATTGGATACTAAACTTATAAGAGAATTCCTGATTTCAATATAAATACACGTAGGTCGAATTTCATTTATTAATTTTAGATTGGTAGACTTTGATTGTCTTATACAGTATTCTCTAAGTGCGAAAGCTTTTAGTTACTTACGTGTTAAATACATTCAACCTGAGATAAGGCTACACACGTGTTAAATATATTTGACTTGAGATATAATACTCCCATATTAAATACATTTGAGATATATTGCTTACATTCGAGATCTAACTACTTACGTTTAGATATGAGCTCAAGTGATATTAAAGGGCTTAGCATAAACGTACCGATGACTCCGTACAAACATGACAGAGGAGGTTGGGATGCCAATAATGATAAATAAAAAGGTGAATAAATATTTGTAAAATAATACCATTGGCCACTGCAAGCAGTATCCGCAAAATATAATACCCCGTGATTAAGACCCGGGCATTATTCGCCACCCATCTAGCTTAATTCTTGAATAATACCCGAGGTGTAACTATATTACTTTAATATGATGTATTTCCAAATATTATACCAGGTTCCTCACACAATACCTACGGTACTATTCAATTTTAAAATGAAGTTCTTGAATAAGACCCGGGTACGTATGCAGTGGTCAACAGTAGTATAGATACTACTTTTATGGGACGTGGGTATGGGTATACATGGATGTCTAAATTACTCCTCTTAATAAAAAATTATTTCAACATTTAGTCTGATGAAATTAATTTTCCTTAATGGCGAAATTAAATTTCATAGTTGTCAAAATTTTTAGTGAAATTGTTTGAATTCATACGCTAGGTAGTATAGTTACTTTGTGGAATTCATATAAAAAAATTAGCAATGTCGTAATGTTTGTCAAAATTGCTTTTTTTGAAAAATAATTTAGACACCCATATATATGTTACAGGAGCGACCGTCGATGTTACACGACTGACTTTTCACCCGGTGTGCAACATATAAAAAAACTATTTTAC